AGAGATTTGATCCTAATGAAGTAGTAAGGATTGCTACAGATTCTATATATGTACGAAAAGAGGCTTTATATAAGATCAAAAATATACTGGCATTCTTCAAGCAAGTTGAGGTAAAGTCAGATCTGAATTTATATTTGCACTATCCTTCTTGTGCAATGTGTAGCGATCCAGAAGAATTTCTTATTTCAAAATCAGAATATGCAAAATGGATTAAAGAGTTTTTAAAAACAAAAAGGCCTCTAGTGAAATATAATTGCAAAAGACATAAACCATTTATTTGCAGATTTTGCTTTGGAGAATGGTTTTATAGATCAGACTCTTATACTCTTTCACATCAACCAGAAGAACAAGAAATCCAAGAAATTCAACCCGGTCAATGGCGTAACAAAGGTGAAAAAATATATGGACCAGTTACCGATATTGTATACTGGCCAAAGAATAGGCATTGGGAATCGATCAAAAATTATTCCTGAAAGTACAGCACCCTCGATTTATGATCCTATTACAAGATGTCAGAAATCATATCTTAATAGAGGAGGTGGTTCAGAAAAAACAACGCGTGCAATTTGAATTTTCAAAAATATAAACATGGTTGTATTTACTCATACAAATGCATTAGCTAAAGATTTTTGAGAAAAATATAATGTAAAAGCTCAAACCTGGCATAGTTTCTTCAGATGGAATGGAGTGGGAAAGTGGACACCTAAATGTATGGGAGAGAAAAAATTTCCACAAGTTGTTATTTGGGATGAGGTATATACAGTTCCTAAGCATATTCTTGAAATGTTCATTAATTATTTATTAGAACATAAATACCAGGTAATTTGTTGCAGTGACGATGTACAACCTCTGCCATTCTTCAGAAAAATGTCACATAATTGGTTAAAAGAGCATGCTGATTATTATGAAGAAGTTTTAACTGATTATCGTGCAAAATATCCTAAATTACGTGAACTTAAAAAAGCTATGCGTCGAAAAAATAATCGAATACAATCAAAATTATTTCGAGGAATTCTCCCAACTATAGAAAAATGGAAATATCTCGAAAAGGAATGGACTCTCTCAGATCGCATATTATCAGCACATATACTTTCCCGAAGAATTGCTTCCCAAAAATGTTTAGAACTTCATCAAATAAAATATCCTGAAATTCCAATCCCATTAATTTATAAGCCAAGAGATGGATACAAACAAAACTGCCTTGTTCAGATCTCTGGCCCATCTAAATAGAAAGAGTTAGTAAAAAATGACATAGTATACTTATCTTTAAATACACTTCCTAACAAATTCTTAAAAGATATGTTGGTGGATAAAAAAGTCATAGATTGGGAACTTGGATATGCTATGACTATTCATACTAGTCAGGGGATGACTCTTAAGTCACCACAGCGTGTTTGGATTATTGATGAAAACTTAGCCTGGGATAATCTA